TGCGGGGCCGATGTGCTGGCGGCTGGGCGGCGGTGCCCAGCAGGTGCTGGAAGTGGCGCGCCACGTCCTCCGGCACCAGGTTCAGCTGCTTGGCGGCTTGGGGCTTGAGCCTGAAGAAGAAGGCTTGTGGGTCCGTTTTGGCCAGCTGCTCCAGCTTCTCGCCGCGGAGGGCTTGGCACTTGTGCCACGCTGCCACCAGCCGGCGCTTCAGGCGGTTGCGGCAGCGTCCCACCTCCCGCCGCAGGGCTGCGTCCTGCTGCTCAGGGCCGATGCCACGTTGCTGCGCAACAGCTGCCTGCTGCACCGCATTGCGTTGCGCCCTTCTTGCGTCGCGGATGCCGTACTGCCGTTGTAGGCTGCGGGGGAGGCAGTGTGGTCGCTGGGCGCCGCCGTTGCTGCTGCGCTGCCGCATGCCTGCGCCATCCAGGGTCTCCACCATGAGCTCAGCAAATGCCGCTGCCAGCTGCTCCAGGGCTGCAGGGCTGGCCGCTGACTCCGCTGCCGCTGCGTGCCTGCGAGGAGCGCCACGGCTGCTGCCAGCTGCTCAGCTGTCCCCAGCTCGAATTGGCGCTGCTGCGGGGGTGCGGAGGTGTGCTCCTGCTGCGCCGTGCTGTCCCGCTGTACCGCCGGGGGTGCTGCTAGCTCCAGCAGGAGCGTTGCGTGGTCGGAGTGCTGCGCTGCCAGGCCCCAGCTGTCCACCGCCATGGTGGGCAGCCGCGGCAGGAGGCTGGCGCTGGCCAGCCAGTAGTCAACCACCGCCCTGCCGGCACTACAAGTATGCCACAGCATGCAACGCGGCGCTAAGCTGTTTCTTGCTGTGGTACGGGCACAACCAGAAGAGGAGCCACCAGATATCTCTGAAGGGGACGACACCAATGAGTCTTACCCGACAGCGGCAGCAGATTTTCCGGACGGTACCGACCGTACCCCAACCACATTTTCTCCTCGAGAACAAGAGCTGATTGACCAGCATGTGAAACGGCTGAAGAGCAAGTACGCAGCCGTCATGCCTGATGAGCTTCCTGACCATCTGCCACCATCTAGGGGGAGACATGACCACAAAATAGAGCTCACTCCAGATGCCCAGCCCCCAAACCAGAAATATTACCGTCTGTCTTACGAGGAACAGGCTGAATGCCACCGACAGATTGAAGAAGGACTCAAGAAAGGATTCATTAGACCCAGCACTTCACCCTGGGGCAGTCCAGTCCTGTTTGTTAAGAAAAAGGATGGCACTATGAGAATGTGCATCGATTACAGGGCTGTTAATGCTTTGACCGTCAAGAACCGGACCGCCCTACCTCGCATCGATGAGTTATTGGACCAGATCAAGGGCAGCATCTTTACATCTATAGACCTGCGAGCCGGCTACAACCAGATCAGAATGAAAGAGGACAGCATACCAATGACTGCCTTTAAAACTAGATGGGGACTCTTCGAGTACACAGTCCTGCCCTTCGGGCTGTGCAACGCACCAGCTACCTTCCAGACCCTGATCAACGACGTGTTTCGAGAGTACCTTGATCAGTGGATGGTGTGTTTTCTAGATGATATACTGATATACAGCAGTAGCGTAGAGGAGCATGCTCGGCATGTGGAGATAGTGCTCAAGAAATTACAAGACAACCAGCTCTACATTAAGGATAGCAAATGTGACTGGTTCCAGCCAGAAGTGAAGTTCTTAGGACATGTTATCAATGCAGCGGGCAAGAGCTTAGATGACGGCAAGGTTCAGGCTATCCTGAACTGGCCTGCCCCTACGAATGCGACGGAGGTGTCTGCATTCCTGGGACTGGCAGGTTACTACCGGCACTTTGTTCACCACTTCTCCCACATTGCTGACCCCCTAACGACTCTACTGTCCAAGACTGTTCCCTGGACATGGGGACCAGACCAAGAAGCTGCATTCACGAAACTGCAGCATAGTATCACAACCACACCTGTGCTGGCCTATCCTGACCCCGAGAAGCCCTTTGTGCTCACCACTGACGCGTCCGGCAGAGCACTGGGCGGCGTCATCAGTCAAGACCACGGCAAGGGCCTGCAGCCAATAGCATTCTACTCTCGCAAGCTCACCCCCGCGGAACGCAACTACCCAACAGTAGCGAGAGTGTAAGACTCAGTTGCTGTCTCGCAGCTGGCACAGCAGGGCGCCGTCTGCTGCTGCCGCTGCTGCAATCCTTCCCCTCATCTGAAAGCTGTGCCCTCACAGCTTGTGCCCATGCCGCCGCTTCTGCCGCAGTCTCTGGGTGTTGCTAGTTGCCGCCTCAGGCCGCGTCCTCCGTGGCGTCGGATGCGTCGCCGGTGGGCGCGCCGCTGCCGGTGGCGGTGGTGTCGGTGGTGAGGCGCTGCCGCTTGGAGGCAGGTGCTCGTGCGATGCTGCCCCGTAGGAACTCAAGCAGCACAATCCGCTCGCGCTGCTCAGCAATCACAGCCTCCTTAGCCGCAATGATGGCCGCGACCCATTTGTGTGACAAGAAGTCGATCAGACGTCATAGCCGCGACGCCACGCTGGCGTGCGCCGCTGGCGTGTGCTGGTCCGAGCAGCAGGTGTTCGCGCAGGCTGTTCGTGCTGTGTAGATGTTGGTGAAGTCATGTGGGTGTCTTTGTTGTCCGCCGTGCGCTGTGCAGTGGTGCTTGCTGCAGGCGCTGGCTTGGTCTGGTCTAGCTCTTGCTTCATTTTGCGAACATCGGAACCTAGAAGATTTGGCCGGCTCCCAAGTCGCCTCGCTGAGTGGGTAACCTTGCCAGAGGACTAAGTACTGCGCCAGCTGCCGCCCGCCCTCAGTGATGGTGCGTTTGCGTAGCAGCCTGTATACCAGGTAGACATCATCATTGATAATTGGGGGCGGTCGCAGCTGAGTCTCTTGCCGCTCTGGTGTTGTCTCGTCGTGGAAGTACGGCTTGAGTAGTGATATGTGGAAGACAGGGTGGATTTTCATTGTGGCAGGCAGGTCGAGACGATAAGCTACAGCCCCGACTCGCTCCAGGATGGTGAAGGGTCCTGTCCACTTGACATTGAACTTGGATGCAGGCCCGTCGCTGCGCAGCCGGAGGTTGGCAGTGGACAGAAGCACTCGGTCGCCCACGTCGAAGGCAGCGTCCTGCCGTTTGAGGTTGGCGTAGTGTGCTTGCCGCTGCTGTGCTGCTGCCAGTTGTTGCCTGGCTGCTTCCAGGTCAGTCTGCATGCGTTGGTAGAATTCTGTTGCCACCTGGTTGGTGCTGCCGTGTAGGCGATGCACTCCCAGTGTAGCAGGGGTGAGTGGGTGATAGCCGTAGTTGAGGTAGAAGGGGGTCTGCTTGGTGCTTGAGTTCACCGCATTGTTGATAGCAAACTCCGCCGGTGCCAGCCTGGTGTCCCAGTCGTCGTGCCGATCAGACACGTAGGCTCGCAGCATTTCCTCCAGTGTGCGGTTGGTGCGCTCAGTTTGGCCATCCGTCTGGGGGTGGTACGCTGTAGATCGTTTGAGTTTGGTGCCGAAAAGCTCCATCAGAGCCTCCCAGAAGCGACTGGTGAACTTGCTGTCCCTGTCGCTCACAATGCTGCTCTGAAGGCCGTGCAGTCGGCTGATGTTGTTGAAGTACAACTCTGCAGTACTAGGTGCAGTTGCAGTAGTGTGAGTGGCCGTGAGATGTACCATTTTTGTCAGCTTGTCCACCACCACCATAATTGCGTCGTAGCCTCGGGGTGTCTTGGGAAGTTGTGTAATAAAATCCATTGACTGGCCGCAGCCGGGCTCCGGCTGCTACTAGACTTCGACTAGACCCGCTGCCTGCTCTTACAGATGGTTGCCGGCAGCGTTTGACCGTCGGCGGCGGCGGGGCAGCGCTTGAGCTGAGGTGCACAATACCATGCCATGCATGTATCATATTGATCAAGGAGCGCAGTCCAGACACAGGATACACTGTGCGCGGAATTGCGGTCCACTGTGCTGGTGCCCCACAGCACTCTGGACACCCGCCACCTCAGCCAAGGCGGGGGTTCCCATTTTGGGACATCTGGCGCAACCCTGCAAAGGCTGCCACTCTGCAACTGTTCCTTCAGGAGTGCACGCAAGAAGCCGTCCCAACTCCTGCAGCACCAATCTGTACATCCCTGAGGGCAAGTTTTTCAGCACACCCCATACTCTCTGCCGGCGGCGCGACGCTGCCAGCTGGCAGGCCAGTCGGGCATGCCGCCCCGATTCACCCTAGCGCGGCATTCTCTTCATCTTCTTCTGGCACTCGTTTGCACTTCGCTTGCAAGCTCCCCCAGCCGCTGACGCCCCACTGGCCATGCTCAAACACCCGATGCTCGCCGCAGTGCTGCTTGCGGCTAGCCTCACCGCAGCACAACCTGTGGAATTCGCCGTTTTGCACGTCAATGACATCCATGCCAGGTATGCGCGGAATGCCCGCCCTCCCGCCCTCCCGCCGCCGTCCCGCCCACGAGCCGCCCAGCACACCAACATAAAAAGCAGTGCTGGTGCAGGTACGAGCCCACAGACCAGTACTACGGGCCGCAGTGCAACGGGACACAGGGCACGGCCTGCTTTGGCGGCATGGCGCGCCTGGCGACCGCCATCCAGGACGCCAAGGCGGCGGCGGATGCGGCGGGCAAAGACACGCTCGTGCTGCACGCCGGCGACCAGTTCACGGGCACGGTCTGGGATGAGGTGTACACGTCGCAGGGCATCCAGATCGCGCCGGGGTTCCTGGAGGAGCTGGGGGTGCAGGTGGGGCGCTATGCTTTGCAGAAACCTTGAGCCTACCGCTGCCTTGAGCCTGACTGCTGCCTCGAGTCTACTGCTGCCTGAACCCTTAGAGGCTCCTCCCGCCCGCTTCAGGCGTTCACCGTCGGCAACCACGAGTTCGATTCGGGCCCCGCCGTGCTCGCCGAGTTCATCAGGAACGCCACCTTTCCCGTCATCTCCTGCAACCTGGACACCAGCCAGGAGCCCGAGCTGGACGGGCTGGTGCAGGTTGGGCATGTTTTCTTCTTCTTTTCTTTTTAAACCAGCGAAATGCTCCCTGCCTGCGCATCTCGCCAGGCATATCCCGTGCTGCAGCACCCTGCTCCGGCAAGGGCTCTGCAGCTGCCGCTGGCCCCCAGCCTGCCGCCCTGGCTTGTCCCTCCCAACCCTGCCTGCCTGCAGCCATACACGATACTGGAGCTCCCTCGCAGCGGCGTCAAGGTGGGCGTGGTGGGTCTCACCACTGTAGACACCCCAGAGACGAGCTCCCCAGGCCCCAACGTGCGCTTCCTGCCATACAATGAGACGCTGCCCGGGTGTGTGGCTGACGCCAAGGCAGATGGCGCCCAGATCATCGTCGCACTCACCCACATCGGTTTTCCCGACGACCAGCTGCTGGCGGCAGACCCATCCGCTGCCGACTTGGACCTCATCGTCGGTGAGGCGGCAAGGCGCCGGATAGGGTGGCCTGTGCGTGCCGGTCGCTGTTGCGTGCATGCCTGGGCGGGCGGCGCAGACAGGCAGGCGCAGGCGGGTAGGCAGGCGGCCATCGAGGTCTTCTTGCCCTGCCCCATGCTCGCCTGCAGGCGGGCACAGCCACACGCTGCTGTACGGCACGCCGCCGCCTGTGGGCAAGCAGCAGGTGGGCAGCATGGCGCCGCCCATCCTCACCTCGCCGCCCACCAACGAGAGCTCTGATGTGCTGGGCCCCTACCCTACGCTCATCCTGGCGGCAGATGGCAACAAGACCATCCCCATAGTCCAGGCGCTGTGGGCCACACGGTGGTGTGCTGCTGGCGGCCGGCCGGGCTTGCGCAGGATGCCACGCTTGCTCACACTGGGGCAGGGGTACACCACACCAGTCGGCGGTCCCTTCCTCCTGCTCCCCGCTCACATGCCGCTTCTCTCCTCTTGCTGACAGCTACCTGGGCGTGCTGCAAGCCAGCTGGGATCCAGTGGAGGGCCAGCTGACTGCCTCCGGAAGCCCTCTGCTGCTGGGCGGCGCCAACTCCACCAACCCTGTGGCAGGTGCGGCGGCCGCGCTCCACCCCGCGGCGCCGCGCCCCGCCCCGAGTCCTGGCAGCTAGCTGCCTGACAACAGCCTGTAGCTGCCTCTGGAGCGCGTGAGCCAGGGGCTGGAGGGCAGCCCTGGCCTCACCTGGCCCCTCATGACTGCTGCCCACCCAATCCGGGTCTGTGCGCTGCAGAGGACCCCGAGGTTGCCAGCCGGGTCGAGTCGCTGACAGGCCCGATAGACCAGCTGTACGCCACCACCGTGGGCAACTCCACGGTACTGCTGGACGGGGAGCGGGGGGATGTGCGAGGCGAGGAGACCAACCTGGGGGACCTGACCTGCGATGCCCTGCTGTGGCACGTGGCCAACAAGACCTCCCTGATGGCCGCCTTCCCCGACACCCCCGCCGTCTGCGTCTACAGCGGCGGCTCCATCCGGTGAGCGGCCTGCTGGGAGGGGCGCCTCGTGCGCAAAGCTGCTGCCCAACTGCTCCCTGCCTGCTTCGGGTCGTCCTTTCCACTACCTCACCACATCAAAGCTTGCTGAAACCTGATCCTCTGCACACACACACACGCCATACACGTCCTCACCGCCCCGACCCTCAACCACCCCCATCCCACCCGCTCCTGCATCTGCCCGCAGGGCCAGCATCCTCGCGGGCAAAGTGACTGCTGGCCAGATCAACGATGTGGAGCCGTTTGGCGACTGGCTGGTGGTCAAGCTGATCAACGGCAGCGTCCTGGACGCCGCCCTGAACTCCGGGCTGGAGGGGTGGACGGGGGACGAGGATGCGGCGGGGCGCTTCCCGCAGGTCGGGGGCCTGCGGTACGCCTTTGACCCGTCCCGCCCGACCGACTCCCGCCTGGTGGCGGCCCAGGTGCAGCTGCCCGACGGCACCGCCGCCCCGCTGGGCCAGCTGGACGGTGCCGACATGCTGCTGGTGACCAACAACTTCCTGGCGGGCGGCGGCGACTTTTATACTATGGTGGGGGACGCGCCCACGGTGCTGGATGCCAGCACCCCCATCACCCAGATCCTGACCGCATACTTCCAGCAGTTCTCGCCCATCACCACCACGGGGGACGGCCGCATCGTGAACTGCAACCTCACCGCCAGCGCGCCCCTGTGCGCCGCTGGCGCGGCGGCGCCGCCTGCGGCAGCTGCGCCAGCGCCGTCGCCGACGTCTGCCGCCGGCCCACGCACCTCGTGTGCCGCGGCCGCTCTGTTGGTGTACATGTTCATGCTTGTCTTTAATATTTATCTGTGATTATTGTTGACTGATGTTATTATCACGATGTATTCACAACATTTCCGAACACTGATGTAATGCACCAGACCGAAGCGGCGGTCGCCGACTGGCGGAGGACTGCCGGTCGTCGCCCTGCTGGGCGCGCTGTGCAAGTGGCGGCCATTTGGACGCAACGCCCACCAATCGCAACAGGCTCATCCAATGACCACGAGCTGACGCTGGGCTCCCGCCCGGCACGGCGATCTCTTTTTCACGCTGCAATCATCGCGCCTGGGGCTCAAGCTACCGTTTCCGCGGCTGGCAATTGAATAGGCGTCGCGCCGCGGCGAGAAAGAAGTGCTGCAACACCGCTAGGCGACCGTCGCCGCCGGCGGGCGGCGCGGCGGCAATATGGCGGCGGCGGCCTGCTGCTTCCGTGCCACGTTCACCCGCGACGGCCACAAGAAGCCCAAGAACCGCAAGTGGCTGGACGGCTTTGTCACGCAGGCGGGCAGGGATGCCAGGCTGCTCAATGAGGCTGGCGGGGTGGTGGCGCTGGGCCGCCTGGCGGCTGGTCAGGTGCTGGAGGAGGGCTTGGAGCTGAAACAGGGCTTTGGACAGAGCGTGATTGTGCACGTGGATGTGGCCTGCGACCCACGAGACATGAGCGGCGAGGCCAGCAGCGGCGGCGGCCAGCCAGCGGCAGCCCCCGCTGCACCCGCACCCGCGCCGGCGGCCGCCGCCGCCGCCCAGCCGCGGCTCGTGCGCCCGGCGGCTGCAGGGCTGCGCGGCAGCGGCGGCAGCAGGAAGCATGCGTTCAAGGCGCCAAGGCCAGCTGCGGCGGCAGCTGCAGCGGCTGCAGCAGCACCACTCGAGCCAGCGGCGCCGCGGGCAGCCTTTGACCAGCCACAAGGGGACTGCACGGCGCTGGCCCACCAGCCGGAGCCCCGCCGGCGGCAGTTCACGGCACCGGCCCGAATGCCAGCCATGCCTCATCCCGTACACACGCTACCGGCGGCGCCTGCAGCAGCGGCCCTGCGGTCGGGTGGGTGCTGCCGGTTTCTGAGCTGCTGGGTGCTGCCGTGCAGCGTGCTGTGCAGGGCGGCAGCCCTCCCTGCGTGCCCAGCCAGCCTGCTCGCCCTGTGCCCATCGCTGCTCAAGCCGGCTCCATTGCTGCGCTGCCGCAGACGAGGACATCCTGCGCCTGCTGACCGGGGAGGCTCCCGTCGCACCCGCGGCAGCGCCAGCGCCGGCAGCCAAGCGGCAGCGGATCCAGCCCTCTGCTGCTGTCGGCGGTGGCAGCAGCGGCACCCCTGCTGCCCCAATGGGAGCGCCTCTAGTGGTGTCGGCTGGGCACGCTGCGCCGCCGCCTGCGGCTGCCCGGCCCGCGGCGCGGTGGAGCAGCTTCGTGCAAGACGAGGAGGAGGATGGGATGGGCTGCGGGGCGGCACTCGAGGCGGGCGTCCACGACGCCGAGGCAACACCGGCACCAGCCGCGGCAGCCGCCTGCGGCCCGGGACCGGCAGCTGCCCGGCAGCACCTGTGGCAGCGGCAGCTCCCAGCCCCCATGTCGGCAGCGCCTGCACAGCAGGGCGGCAGGCAGCAGCGCCCGATCTGGCAGCGTGCGGGGCAGGCCGCGGTGGGAGCGGCGCAGGCGCCAGTGGGAGGACCTGAGGAGGGTGAGCTTGGCAGGTCGCCTAGCGGCTCCCTGCCAGCCGCAGCGGCAGCAGCTGCAGCAGGTAGCTTCCGCCCCATTGTGCGGCCGCCCCACGCCCAGCCCGGCCAGCCGCCGCTGCGCCCGGCCTGGCAGGCGCACGCGGTACCGGCCGCGCAACAGCGGCAGCAGGTGCAGGGCGGCTGCCCGGCAGCGGCCCAAGCAGCCGGTGGCGGCGGGGGCTGGAAGCCTCCGGCTGCCATCGCCCCTGGAGCCGCTGGCCGGCGGCTGGCGGTGCAGGCAGCGGCGCGGGCGGCGCCGGCACCCGCCGCCGCCGGCTGGAACCGGGAGGTGGATGGCACGGTGCAGCTGGGCTGGCCCGGCGCCGAGGAAAGCGCCCGGCCGGCACGCCGGGTGGCCGTGCCCGACGGCTTTGCCGGCTGCCAGCAGTATGTGCTGGCCTGGAGCAACGCGCTGAGGGAGGAGCTCAACTTGCGGTGGGTGCAGGGCTGGACCGGGGGGTGGGTGCATGGGATTGGTGGGGAGGAGTAGAGGAGGGTGAGCTTGACAGGCCACCTAGCGGCTCCCTTCATGCGTTGGGGCGGCCTGGTGGTGGCGGCAATGGGCTGTAGAAGAAGATGCAGTGCCGCGCGGCGGCAGCAGCCTTGCATGCAGGCTCTTGCCCAGGCCCGTACCGGCCCCTATTCTTTTCATGCAATCCTTGCACCTGCATTGCTGCCCCTGCTCCCTACCGCAGGATAGCGGAGGTGGGAAGCGCCTTCCAACCCCCCTTGGCCGGCGCGGTCCAGAAGCAACAGCAGCAGCAGCAGCAGCAGCAGCACCAGCAGCAGCGCGGCCCCCAGGGCGGCAGGCGCGGGGGGGGCGGGCCGCTGGCGCCGGGGGCAGGGGGGCGGCCGGCCCCGGGAGGGGGGGGGGGGGGATGCCGGTGCGTGCCTGTGCTGAGCGCCTTCTGCCGGCGCGTTGTTGGACTGCCTCCCTCCTTTCTCCTTCCTTTTCACAGATCAACGCATTTTCCAGTTCCGTTGCCCCCGCCCGCAGGCGGGCGGGAGGCGCGGCTGCGCCATCCGCGGGTGCCATACTACGCCTCATGCGAGCTCTTCATCTGGCGCAACAACATGCCTAAGAAGGTGGGCCTGTCGCCAGGGGCAGAGAAAGAGGAGCCAAAGGAGGAGGAGGCCAGCAGCTTGGGGTCAGCATGGATGAGGAGGAGACGGCAAGGGGTCGGCAAGGGGTCGGCAGCTTAGCCAGGTGGTTGTGCTGCCCCTGGAGGAAGGTGGCACAGCTGGCTGGCTGAGATGGGGATGGTGGTGTCCCCCTCTGTGTGGCAGGGCGGCTGGAACGGCGTTGGGGGCAGGCGCGGCAAGCGCGGCCGCGGCGCGGGGGCAGGCGAGGAGGAGGAGGAGGAGGATGGGGGCGGAGAGGAGGAAGCTGCCCAGAAGCCAGACAGCATCTACCTCATCCTCAAGTCGGGGCGCCAAAAGGCAGCAGAGTATAGGCAAGCCGCAGCGGGGGGCGGTTGAAGCATTGGTTCAGGCGAGGCAGCACAGCCGGGCACTTTTGGGTTTGGGCACACGCACCGCCGCACCGAGGCTGCTGTCGGGGTGCATGCAAGGCCGGTACCGGTTGCTGGTTTGCAATACAGCGGTGCCGAGGTACTGCAGGCGGGACGACCTGTGGATCATCAGCAACAACCCCGAGCTGCGGCCCGGCTTCCCTCCCGGCCAGCCGGGCGACCGCAGCCGGGAGCCATGGGTGGTGGTGGCGCGCAGCCTGTGGCACGCCCCCAACCAGGACGGCAAGTGAGTGGCTGGGTGGCTGGGTGGCTGGGTGGCTGGCTGGGTGCGGCTCCCAGCTTGTGGAGCAGCCTGCCCTGCCGCCTGAAGACTGGTTGGCTCCCAGCCACGAACAGCGGCGTGCCTCCTGCCCCTTGTGCTGGCTTGGGTCAGGAGCAATCCCGACTCGCCTGTTTCCCTGCGGCCAATGCCTGCAGGTTTGAGATCGAGTTCCTCTCCCCTCGGCCCCCCGGACTGGGCCGCTCTCAGGCCGTGTATGCCATCAAGGCAAGCCGGCCGGTCCTGTGATCCAGGCAGCCCGGGGGGGGGCGCGCTCATCATTGATGCCTCATGGGCTGCTGCTGCCTCATGGGCTGCTGCTGCCTGGGGCAAAGCTGTTGCGCTGCGGGGCACGAACCCCAGGCACGGACCCTGGCTGCCCTGCTCCTCCCCATTGCCGCCGCAGGGCCCTGAGGCCGCCACCGAGCTCGGCATGATCGACCTGCTCCGCTCGGGGGCGGCCGCCACGCTGCCGCTGCTGCCCCACCTGCTGCGCGCCCCAAGCGGTGCGAACAGCGCTGCCACCGCCGGTGCCGGCAGAGCCAGCCGGGCCCCCATGCAGCGCCCAGGCTCCAGCGCCGCAGCACGCCAGCAGCAGCAGCAGCAGCAGCAGCAGCAGCAGGAGGAGCAGCAGGAGCAGGCCGACATGCATGGCCCAGACATGCCGGACCCAGGCAGCCCCTGCTACAGCTGCTCAGACGACGACGAGGCGCTGGTGGCGGCGGCAGCGGCCACGGATGGGCTGGCAGAGAGCCCCCTGGCGCAGGCGGATCAGATCATCCAGAGGTTTGGCTTAAACAAGGAGCAGGCAGGTGCGACACGCAGCTCTCGTGTGGCACGGCACACCAACCGGCACAGCGCTCTTCGGAGCCCTGCTGGTGTGCTTGCGGGCGACACACCGTTGGCTCAAGCCCTCTCGCTGCCACCCTGCAGAGGTGGTCACGTATGTGGCTGGCTGGGCGGCGGGCAGCGGCGGCGGCGGCAGCGCCCCCGCGCCGGTGTGCCTGGTGCACGGCCCGTTTGGGAGCGGTAAGCTGGGAGGGGGTGCTGGCTTCGCCCTGTCTGTGCATCTTCAAGCTTTGCTGGGGCGCCTGCTGGTGCTGAGGTGCCCGCTCCCCTCCCCCGCTCCCCCTGCCTGCAGGCAAGTCCACCCTGCTGGTGGCCCTGCTGCACTTCCTGCTGCAGCAGCATGGCCGTGCGGGCTCGCCGCTGGCGGGCGCCCGCGTGCTGGTGTCTGCCCACACCAATGTGGCTGTGGACAGGGTCCTGGTCGGTGCGTTTGATGTGCTCGTATTATATTGCGGTGTGTGTGTGTGTGTGTGTGTGTGTGAGAGAGAGACAGGATGACACGGCGTAGCGCCTGGCGCTGCCTCCCTCCAGCGCCTTGCCTCGCCCTGCTCTTCCTCTGAGCTGCCCGGCACCTCGCTGCCCCCAGGCCTGCTCGAGTCTGGCTGCTCCGACTTCTTGCGCGTGGGCCCGCTGCGCCGCGTCTCCCGCCGCCTGCTGGCCCAGTCGCTGCACGCCAGCGAGAGCCGCGCCAGCGCCGGCGCCGCCGCCGAGCTGCGAGAGATGCTGAAGGAGGCTGGCAGCCCGGCGGAGGCGGCGGCCATCCGCGCTGAGCTGGCGGCGGCGGAGAAGGGTGCGTGCGTGCAGCCCGGCGGCCTTGGGTGGGCTGGGATGTGTGGCTGGGGAAGAAGGAGAGCCGGGTGTGGGATTGTCGGTGACGACGGCGCCTGCCAAACTGTCGCCTGTGGCTGCTGCGCTTCAGGCCGCGGGCCGAGCCCGCCCGCCCACTCCCTGCTTCGTGTTTGTGCAGGCGCCGACCGGCAGCGCAAGCGCCTGCTCAAGACGGTGCCTGTGGTGGGGGTCACCTGTTGCTCCGCCATGCTGGCTGCACTGGACGGCCAGCGCTTTGATGTGCTGCTGCTGGATGAGAGCTCGCAGATGGTGGAGCCGCTGTCAGCCATCCCCCTGCTGCGGGCGCAGGCCAGGTGAGCCGGGAGGCAGGACACGCGGGCGGGGCGGGGTGGGCAGGAGCAGAGGAGTGGGTCTCACAGTGTGCTGTGTGCTGTAACGGATGTGTGGGGGGCACGCCTCCCTCACAGGTTCCTCATCGCCGCCGGCGACCCGCTGCAGCTGCCGCCCGTCATCGCCTCGCCCGTCCACGTCACGCAGGCGCCGCCCCATCGCCCACAGCAGGCGCAGCAGCAGCAGGAGCGGGAGCAGCCCCAGGGCCTGCTGCGCCCACTGTTTGTGCGCCTCTCCGCGCTGGGCCTGCCGCTGTTTCTTCTGCGCCGCCAGTACCGCTGCCACCCAGACATCTCTGCCGTGCCCAACAACCACTTCTACGGCGGCCGCCTGCTGGACGGTGTCGCCGCGGAGCAGCGGCCCTCGCTGCTGCCGGGGCTGCCCAGCTTGGCCTTCATGGATGTGCGGGGGCAGGAGCAGTACAGTGCGGGTGGGTGGTGGACCAGCGGCAGCAGTGCAGGCAGGAGGTCCTGCCTCAACTGCTGGACATCACTCATATTTTATCTGTTTGTTGTTGATCTTGCCAGCATGCCTGCAGCAGCTGCTGCTGCGGTTTCCTTCGCCGCCTCCCCTCCTGTGCGGCCTCCACCTGCCCTGCTTGCATTTGGCTGCCGCTTGCCTGTGCGCCGTAGGCCGCAGCGCCAGCAACCAGCTGGAGGCAGAGGCGGTGGTGGCGGCGGTGGAGCGGCTGGTGGCGGCAGGCGTGGCGCTGGGCCAGTGCAGCGTCATCTGCTTCTTCCGGGCCCAGGTGGCGCTGGTGCGATCCCTGCTGGACCGCCGCCTGCCGCAGCTGGAGCAGCGGCAGCGCCAGCAGCGGCGGCAGCAGCGGCGCAGCCCGCGGGCGGCGACAGAAGCGCTGCCGCAGGCCTTCGGCGGCGCCAGCTCCAGCCGCGTGGCGGAGGGTCGGGATTCCTTGGGAGGCGAGGAGCCTGGGCCTGGTAGGCGGGGCGGCAGTGAGGACGCAGAGGGTAGCGGGGGCGACGACGAGCCGGAGCAGCAGCAGCAGGGCATCCAGATAGCCACCGTGGATTCTTTCCAGGCGCGGGCTGCTGCCTGCATCTCCCGCCACCCTGGCTCGCCAGCTTCGCCATGTCATGCGTGCCGTCTTGCGGGCAGCACGCAGCGAAGCACCCCAGCCCTGCCTCCCCTCTCGGCCCTGCCTGCCTGCTGTGCTGCAGGGGGCAGAGTGTGATGTGGTGCTCCTCACCACCGTCGTCACGCGGCCGGGGGCCTTTGCCTCAGGTGCCCACAGCTGCCCGCGGCTTGCAGGCCTGCCAGCTGGCGTCAAAGGCCGCATCCCTACTCTCTTGCAGCTGCATGCCACGGCGCGGGAGCTGCTGCTGCGGCTGTCCTGATGGGAGTCAAAGTGGTGGTGACGCCACCACCACCTGCCTCGCTGCCTGCGCGCCTGGCTCGCAGATGCCTGCCGCCTGAACGTGGCCCTGACCCGAGCCAAGCACAACCTGCTCGTCGTGGGATGCGCCCCCGCGCTGCAGCAGTCCTCCCAGGCGTTGGCCGCGCTGCTGGGCCAGTGCCGGCGCACCCCCGGCGGGTTCCACGCCGGCCGCCTGCCGCCAGGCATCGGCGCTGGTGCTGGGGTGGCGGCGCATGCGCCTGGAGCAACGGCAGGGCTGGCCACGGCATCAGCGGGGGCGGCAGCGGCACGCGCAGCAGAGGATGGTGGGGACGACGATGAGGAGGGGTGGGCTGCGCTTCAGGGGACACCGTGAGTGCCTGTTGCTCTTCCCTCAAACAAGGAAGCCAGGTAGCACGACCGCTGCAAGCCCTCTCCTGAACGCGCCAACAGGAGGCACGGTGTAACTCCCGGGATGCGCAGTGTTAATCAGTCAATCAACCGGAAGGGGAGGGGCGAAGGGCTGCCACACGGTTCCAGCTCAGCCCAGCCGCCGTCGCTGCGCCGTCGCCGCTCGCGCCTCATCCTGCGGCCCAAACTGCAGCATCGCCACGTCCCCCGCGTAGTGCCGCTGTACCGCCGCAAAGCAGGCCGCGTGCCTGCCCGAGTAGTATTCTGCGGGGTTACAGTACTGCTCCTTGGCCACAGGGTGCGGTCGGCCTGCAGGCGGGGGGCAGGGCAGATGGCATTCATCAAGCTGGATTGTTGGGCAGCCGACATGTCCAGACTTCTGCTGGTGTTTTCTTTCTGCTGGCGTGATTCAACTTGGACCCAGCAGGGCAGCAGAGTGGCTGGCATGGCATCGGCTCGCAGCAGCACACTACCAAAGGCAGCACTGATACAAACACCCCATGCCTGGCAGGAGCAGCGGCGGCGGCGGCGACAGCAGCGGCGGCAGCAGCCCACCCTCGCCGGTCTCATTGCAGCCTCGCCCATTCACGTTCTCCAGGCTATGGTCAAGCTGCTTTATCTGCAGGGCAGCGGCGGTGGCAGCAACTAGGCCAACCGTCCCGGCCAAGAGGGAAGGAAAACAAGGACTTGCCGGCAAGCACAGCGTGATGCCGGGCCACATCATCAGCATCTGCCACGCCGCGCCGCCACGCCGCCGGGGCACGCACACCCACAGCCGCCCCAGCATGCAACGCGGCGCTGCTCGGCCCGCGGCGGGGCCACCCACCGGCGGCGCGTCCTGCGGCCGCCGCCGCTCCAGCTCCCGCAGTACCGCCCCCAGGTCTTCGTCCATGTGCTCCACCCTGCCGATAAAGTCCACAGCCCAGCCGCCGTTGGCCGACACCACGCACGGCTGCTGAGGCTCGATGTGCGCATACACAAACTCCCGCCCCTTCCTGCGTCAGCACGGCGCACGCTGGTCGGGCAGGGCAAGAGGCCGCACCGGGGGGGGGCGGTGGGCGCGGGTGGGATTGGAAGGGCCAGGGGCCAGGAGGGCAGGGCACGCGGGAACGCGGGGCGGACCAGGGATGGCACGCGCATGCACGGCGCCTGAGCCCTGCTGCTGCGGCGGCGGCCTGCCCGGGGCCCCACCCCGCTAGGCTGCCGCTCACTTGCGGCACACCGGGTCTGCCAGGCACTCGTCGGCAAAGCCCGCGGGGTCGGCGCAGAAGTTGTCCCAGGAGTAGGCGGCGGTACCGTTGTCGGCGGTACCATTGTCGGCGGTACCGTTGTCGGCGGCGCGCCGCGGGTCGCCCTGCCTGGCCATCATCTTGTAGGCGCTCACGGCCCGCTGATACGGGTTGCGCACAAATGTGACTACCAAGTAGTCCCGCCACAGTGCCTCCAGCTCCTGGCCGGGCGCCAGCTGCGAGGCGGGTGGGGAGGCGCGGGCCCGGGGCGGGGTGTGCGGCGGGCAGGGGGAGGAGCCGGCACGTGGATGGCAGGGGCATGCCGGGCGGCAATCCCGGGCAGGCGAGCTCCCAAGGTGGCCCATCCAGCACACGGCGGCGGTGCCGGGGCTGCCCACCACCAACGCACACCCCACACAACCCGTCGCCACCGCTCCTCACCCACACCCGCAGCATGCACCTTCAGGTGCTGGAAGCTTGTGTCGGCCTTGCCGCTGCCGCCGCCCGCCTTCTCCTCGCGGCAGCCGGAGAAGTGGCAGAGCAGGGAGCTGGAGGCGGTCTTGGCATGGCGCAGATAGATGACTCTGTACAGGTGGTTGACAAACACCTGGCAGGAGGAGAGGAGGGGCAGCGGAGGCGGCGGGCTGCCTGCACGCAGCGGAGCAACGACGCGCCGCAGCTCAGAGGCCTGCCAGCGGCCTGCTCCGCCGGCTGCGCACACCAGGGGGCAGGCAGCCCACCCACCTTCCGCAAGCAGCCGCGCACGCTCGTCCAGCCAGCTCTGCCGCTGGAGCACCCGCCAATCAAAGCTGCCGGCCTGCCAGTGCAGCGGGTCCAGCGGGCCCGCCTTGCGCACAAAGCCGTGCACCCCAGCGCCCGCCATGACTGCCGCCGTGTGAGGGTCGTTGGCGCCTGCTGCAGCTGCGGTCAGGACCGCACCCTCAACGGCTCCAGCATGCCCCGCTCCGTCGCCCAGCTGCCGCCTCCCCGAAAGCTGGTCGCTGCCGCCCCCGGCCGCCGCCCCGCCGCCGGCCCTGCTATGCTGCATGCCGCCGGGCAGCTGCGAGTCGTTCAGCAGCTCATGGGGCTGCAATCTTCGGCAGTAGACCGACAAGGCAAGCAGCACGGCTAACGCCAACTTGCTCCAGGCCCAGTAGGGGCGGGCAAGCATGTTGCCGGCCCCGGCAATCAAGTTAGCCGTGGCTGGATAGCTGGGGCCGTGCGGACTGCTCATGCCAGCCCTGACCTTCTGTACTGGCACGAGTAGTGCTGGGTGGCGGGTTTGGGGGCTCTCGGGGCACTGCAACGGCCAAATTGGATTGAAACCGTGCTCGCATGCACAATTCGACCCCTGCAAGCAGCTTGCACGAACCTTCTGCTCTCATTTCCACAGCGCCGCTCGTTCGGCGCTGGCGGCAAGGATGGCAGCACAAGTAGAAGGGGATGAATCCTTTAGGGGAGCTGCATGAGATATTTACAGGCAGTCAGCAGTGCTTGATGAACTGTGTTGCTCTTCTGGAGAGGTGTCGGGCCGCACGCTGGTGACGGGCGCACAGCACAGCAGGACAGGTGGCAGCGCGTGGGCTTGCAGCCCCGTTTCACACCGTGAATCGCCTGACTGGAGCCTGTTGTGGGTGCGGACAAGAAGGGGACCGACGATGAGCAAGCAGAACAGTTGGCCCACCGGCCTCTGCGTGAGTTTGGCCGCCCCGCTGCTAAGCAACTGCAGAAATGCTGATGGTCGCAGTCGTGCAGACCGCCTGGGGTGCTGCCTGGTGTGCTGCCGGAGTGCTGGGGCGGTTGACATCAGGCGCCGAAACTAATCGACACCCCTCTCCTTTCGCTTTTGGTCCAAGCAAAGTGTCCTGCAAGGCACCCTGCATGCGGTGCTGCGGTTTCCGGGGTTTCCGGCACCCCGCCACCGCCTCTTCACAACTCCACCCGCCGCCGCCTCATCACGCCATCTCACCGCCACTGCTTCTCCATATGTTTCCCCATCCTACTGCAGAGCTGCTTCTCCGACTGCTCAACCTGCTGCTGCGGCTTCTGGTGCCTGCCGTGCCTGTGGGGCCAGAATGCCGAGACGATGGGCGACGGGAGCTGTGTGCTGAATTGCTGCCTGTACTGGCTGCTCGGGGTCTTCTGCCTCGACTGCTGCCTGGCGGCGCCCAAGCGCGGCCGCCTGCGCGACAACCACGCCCTGGCGCCCGAGCCCTGCGGAGACTGGTGAGCGAGTCGCTGAGGCCGCCCGCCTGCTGTGCCTTTGCTGCTGCCGCTTAATGTTGGTCGCACTGACGCCGCTTGCTTCTGCCCTATCATGTGCCGTGCAGCTGCGTCCACTGCTGGTGTGGGGTGAGTCCCCGCTGCTTAGCACTGCCTGCAGATGCATTCCAATGCGGCTGCCAGGCGCCCGCAGCCTGCCCTCGCCACCAGCCGTAAAGCAAATGCTTCTGCTGTGTACTCCTCCTGACGCTCCTGCGCTGCACCCGCTCATCCCCGCCCCACTTGCCGCTGCCGCCTGCCGTGCAGCCCTGCGCTGTGTGCCAGGAGGCTCGCCTGATCAAGAGCCACGGCGTCATGCCCGCCCACATGGCGGCGCCCGCCGGCGCCGCGGCCCCGCCGCCGCAGTACTACCAGCAGGCCCCCCCTCAGGGGCAGGGCCCACCGCAGCAGCAGTTCATGTCGGTGTGAGCTGGCGACGTGACTTCCCTGGCCCCCCGTGCCTGGCTGGTGCCGAGGCCTATGCGTAAAATACGGCACACCGCAACAGGAGGCCCCCTGTCTACTCGGTGTGCCCGCCTGTTGTGGTGCGCTCCCAGTGCACGCCTGCAGGAGTGCACCCACACTGTGCTGGTATTGATTTGATGCCTGCGTTTCTCAAGCAGCGAATCAGTGTTTATGCCTGATCCTTGGTGCAAAGGATGTGGTGTGCCTTTTGAAAACCGTATCTGACTGGCCAGCTGCGTTGTAAGGCCACACTTTGGACCGGGCCCACCAACAATCTGGGCTTACACTAAACCAACAACACAGCAAAACTGCGTGGCGGCGCTATGCATTGCACTGCCCCAACTAGCTAGCCAAGCAAAGGAACAGGTCGAGAGTCAGGGTGTGAGTGCAGTCAAGTTGGCCGGCCCGGCCCAGGGGAGCACCATCAATGGGAAAAAAGGGGGGGCGGAAAAACTCCAGTGCCGGCACGGCTGCAGCAGTGTGGTGGGTGGTGGAGGCGAGCCGCCTGCCCCGCGGTGGCCCTGCCCCACTCCTTGAAGGAGGTAAGAAGCTCCCTGCTCCTGCCTTCCTCTGTCTTCCTCCCTCAGCTAGTCGGAGAAGCTGTACAGGATGGAGCCGTCGCTCTGCAGCATGCCGCCGCGCGGGCTGCCGTGCACCAGGTCCAGCTTGGCGGCGGCGGCCTCGTCCAGCAGCCACACCGCGGGCGCCGCGTCGGGCTGCACCAGCTGCGCGGGGAACTCGCCCGCCGGCACCGGCGTCTCCAGCGCCAGCTTGGCGGCGTTGGCCTTGTTGGCGCCGGTCAGGCAGACCTGCGGGCGTTGGGGGAGGGGCAGCGCAGATGTGTGGCGCAGATGTGTGGCGGCGCGGGTGGCGGCAGGGGTGCGGGTATGCACGCTGAGCTTGCCGGCGCCAGGCCTTAGCCAGCGGCCTGGGGCGCGCGTGTCGCCGCCGCCCCCCGCACGGCCCCGCAGCGAGGCAACCCTGCTGCGGCAGCCTCCCCTGCGCTTCCCCGGCACCGGCGCGCGGCGCTCGGCTCACCACCACGCGGCGCGCCGCGTTCATGACTCCCAGGCTGAGCGTGATGGAGGCTGGCGGCTTGGCCTTGGTCACGGCCAGCACCCAGGCCCCGCTGGCGTCTGTGGCGCGGCCTCCCGGGTAGAGGGACCCCACATGGCCGTCGGCGCCCACCCCCAGGAGAACCATGTCGAACCGCGGCGCGCCAGATGGCGCCCGCTCCATGCCGACGGCCTCGGCCGCCGCCGCCAGCGCCGCGCCGTACGCCGCCGCCTCCGCCTGCAGCGGGTGGCGGCCAGCGCTTGGGGTGAGGGCAGCGGCCTGTGGCATGTTGGCCTGTAATGGATAGTGAGCGGGGCGTGCACGCACGTGCGCCCGGGCTTCGGCGGCAGGCAGGCTGGGAGGGAGGCGGGCCGCCGTGCCGGCTGGCCCGCAGGCCCACCCCCACCTCGGCGTCGTCGCTGCCGGTCAGGGTGACGACCGCCTCGGGTGGCGCGCCTGCTGCGTCAAGGAACAGCTCCCGAGCTTTGGCGTAAGAGCTGCCGGCGTCGTCATTTGGCACTGTCTTGTGGTTGACGAAGAACAGGCGCACCCTGTCCCAGGGGATGGCAGGGCGGCCGGCCAGCCCGTTCAGCGCCTTGAGCACCGACCCGCCTGGGATGGCGAGGGTGAAGGCGCCGCGCTGCTCCACCGCGGCCACCGCCGCCGCTTCCACCGCGTCGCACAGGAACTGGGCGACCGCCGCCTCGTCCTGGCACACCTCCACCACCACGCTGCCCGCGGCCGTGTCGGCGGCCTCGTAGCGCCCGGCCGCCGCGGCCGCGCGCTGCCGCCGGCGGGAGGGCGCCGGCAGGGCGGGGCGGAGCAGCCGCGGCGGCCGTGTGGCGGGCGGTGGCGGGTGCCAGGGTTGGCACCTGGCTGCCGACCTGAGGAGCAGCAGCTGCATCGTGATGCTGTGCTGTAGAGGTGTGCTGGGATGCTGGTGTGATGAGCGGAGGAGAAGGGAAGGACCGGCGAAGAGGTAGCGGCAGGCTGCGGGCGGCGGCAGGGGCAGAAGGGGGGATTGAGAACTTGAGAGTGTGGGCGGTAGGCAGGCCGAACCGGGGGGGCACCCTGCCTCCCACGTTCGATCTGGACCAGATGGCACTCGATGCTGCAACTGGGGCACGGCTCCTTCCCGGCACCCGCAGGATCGCTGGTGGGGTGAGAGCGGCGCACCAATCAGGTCAATTCCAGACAGCGTAAACGTGCCGCCGCTGCATCTGCGAGCACATGGGGTGCCTGCAAGGTCAGATTTTCACGAAATGGGTGTCTCATGCGCCGCCTGCTGTGACCTGGCATCGGTTGGGGGTTCACGCACCCTGACAGCTGCGACGCCCAGGCGGGCCCGCACTTCCCTCGCAGGCTCACTCCTGTCCCCTGATCATCCAGGTGATCCCCTGCCGTGAGCCGCCCCCCAACCGACTTTGGAGCGTCGCACCCACCAACCCGCCAGCCTCTGAACCCTCCAAGGTGCGGCATGGCCCCTACCGTGAGCAATGCAGATGGTTTAGCCTCCCTGCAGGGGAGCAGCAGCAACGGCTGGCAGGAGCCCATGCTGAACTCACCCAGCTGCCAGCCTGTGGCAGCTTCCCTTGGTGGCGTCCCCACAGAAAATGATCGACGGGCGCATCGGCACGGCAGCAGGCCCGCAGTGGGGGGCCGCAGCACACCTTCCGCTTGGCGGCGCCAGTGCCTACTCGCAGGAGGGCGGCATGCGACTGCCGGGGGCCGCCTGCCTGTCGCAGCGGTGCCTCCCCTTGAAGCCAGTACACCTGCCTGTGGCTGCAGCGTCCCAGATCCCATGCACCGGTGACGAGCCGCTCGGAGCGCTGAGCTAGGCTTCTCGCACAATGACGGGGCCTCGAGTCGTGCTTCTAGCAGCTCTGCTGGTAGCGTCTGCCTTGTGTCAGCATGGTGAGCTGCTGCCTGCGGGCTCTGCCCGGCGCCAGAGCAGTAAGATGGGGGGGACAGCTGGCCGGGCAGCCTGGCCGCTGAAAGTGCCGCCCCGCCGCTTGCCCACGCATCTGGCGCAGCTGCGGCGGAGACTGGTGGAGACTGGCTTGTTGCCTTTCCTCATGCAGCCTCCGCACAGGAAGTGACATCCGGCAAGAAGCTGCTGACCCTGCTGGGACGCACCAACTGCAGCTCCTCAGGTGTGCTGCTACCGGTGTGCCTGTGGCTTGCGCTGAGGCACACACAGCTGCTGCCAGGCATCATGCATGTGCTTTGCAGCATGCGTTGCTGCTGCTGCCGCTGCTCGTGTAGCATGTGCTGCCTAGCTGCTGGCCTGGCGATGATGAAGCTCCGCCTCCTTCTCTTGCAGGCTACCTCGCGGGATGGAGCTGCGAGTGCGTGCCTGCTGCCGGCTTGCATGGGGCATGCCGCGCATGTGTGCAGCTGCCCACGAGTCAGCACGGCGGCATGCCAAGCTTTCCTGCTGCCGTCGCCGGCAAAGGGGCTGGGTGGCAGCAAGCACCCGGCGAGCCGCCGCCGCCGGCCGCTCACCGCTGCGCCCTGCTGTGCGTTTGATGCGAGTGCAGCGATGCCGGGGCGCTGTCGCTGGTTGGCGAGGGCGGCGGGTTTAGGACGGTCTGGTTCTTTGACGGCACAGGCGACCTCGCTGCCGCCAACAAGTCGTTTGTCATGAGCGTGAGTGCGCTCCACATGCTGGATGAGGGGTGGCTGGACGCCGGCCGGCAGCGGAAGGCCAGCAGCCTCAGCACGCCGCCTCAGGTTGCATGCAGCTGGATGCATAAGGGTGGCGCCTGGCATGCTGGTGCCCAGCCCTCGGCATCGTACACTGCTGCCCCTGCCCCGCAGCTGGCCAGCCGGGCGGATGCAGACTGCGCAGACGACAGGCTGCGCGGCTCCAGCAGCTGCGCAGAAGCATCTGTGTGGATGTCTGGCAGCGGGAGGTGGGAGCTGGAGGATGCGGGCGGCGACGGCAAGTTCTTTCTGAAAGTCTATGTGAGTGGCCGGGCCTGGGGCGGCGTCGGCGGCACGCGCCGGGGGGGGCGCCGCAGCGGGGCAACCCCATGCATGTCATCGGCAGCGCGGTACTCACGCACGCTCCCCGCGCTTCTGGGGCTGCCCCTCCTGCCAGCTGAAGGCCTTCTAGCCCCACCAGCGGCACCCACACACCTGCCGGCTCTGCCCTCCCACCTTCCCATGTGCTGCAGAACCGCACCGGCTGCGCAGAGAAGTACCTGGGCGCAGCGCGGGCGGCTGCGGATGCTCCCGAGTGCGGCGCGCCGCAGATTGGGCTGTACCGCAAGAGCGACGCAGACGCGCACAAGATCTGGAGGGTGGAGGCGGTGCCCGACCCCAGCCCGCAGCCGCCGCAGCCGCCGCCGTCGCCGCCGCT